ACAGAGACTCACAACTAAAAACATTTCAGTACAACTTAAAATGTAGAAATATACAAATATTAAAATAGTATTAAACAATATTAGTATTAAAACCATCGAGGTTAAAAATATAAAAGCATGTAAATCACATCACAAATCACAGCAGCCCTTGATGGTTCTGTCTTGCCATTTATGTACATTGAAAGGCATGAATCATACCTCTTTTTAAAAAACAAAAACAAAAACAAAAAACAAACAAACTATATTTGCAGTTTACCCCATTCCTGTAACATAATCCCTTTTGTGTGTCATTTTTTCACATAAGTCATACTTCACTTAGGAGTTTGGCAGTTTCAGTTATTTAAGACTTTTGCTCACCATGAGCCAAATTAATTTTCTCTAGGTATAATATGGAGATGAAAAATCTGAGTGAAATATTTTTTCCATAGATATTTAAATCCATTGTGGACAAGTATCAAGCTGTTTAAGGCACTGATAACCTATTTAACATAAAGAAAAAAATTGAGCATGAATTTGTGCAGAGTTTTTTTTTCTAAGATTCACTCTTTCAGGAACTTCTATAATATAAAAACTTGGGAGAATTGTTTTAACTGAAATCACATTGCAAAAAGAATTATAAAATATTATTCCACTTTTTCCATACCAAATTATTCTTCACAATGATGTGCCTTTCCAGTAATACCATGCTTCAGTAATGCCAAGCTGGTAGCTTAATGTTTTGCTATCTAATCTTTGATTAATTTGAATTGCAGTATTGCCATCCGACCCCCAAAATGATGAGACCGCACAACAATATGAGATTAACTATGGACAACTTTTATTAATGTTACTTCCAAAGCATTTCTAAAGGTGTGTGGATTAATGTGAGGCAGTGGCCATCTAGTAGTAGTAGTAGTAGTAGTAGTAGTAGTAATATCATAATAATAACTTTATTTATATCCCAACACCATCTCCCAAAAGGGACTCTGGAGTGGCTTACAGAGCAGCACACTTCACTAAATTCCATATGGTGTTTGTGTATTCATCCATGCATGCACACACCTTTTTATTGCCTCTCAAGTTATGGTGAACCTAACAATTTCATAGGACTTTATTAGGGAAGGAATACTCATACAGCCACATCTTGCTTAGTCCTGTTTGATAAGAACAGTGAATTTTAAAATGAAAACTTCAAATGTTACAATTACCGAATTCAGATATAGCTTGATGTATTTTTGATACGCCCTCCTGTTTTTAGATTTGTATAGGATGTATTTCAAGAGGGATTTTATAGTAATCAAGGGTAAAGCATATTAAAGTTTAATTTTATTCTGGGAAGAAACTGTGTAATTACCTCCAGATATTGTTATTTATGCTGTGCAAATTACATGCAAATAGGATTGAAAGAACCATAAAAAAGGATTTCTTACTTTCTGCTAAGTACCGTATAATTGTACAATTATTGTTTTCATATCTTGTGAAGCAAATTGTACCTAGATTTTTTAAACAAAACACATTGTTGTATTAAAATGCTTTTATTCTGTCACCTACACTTATAAATGTATATCTGATATAATTATGTATGCTGGTAAATGAAACAATTAGTATGTAAAATGTCAAGATCACATTGTTCTGGTTTTCCAATGGAGTTTTTAGTCAATTGTTGAGAAGGGAAGGGTACACCAGACTATTCAAATACCTCAGTAACACATTCTAAGTGAAGGTGAGTGCATGAAAAGGCATCACACAGTGAAAAGTGTAGGATGTGCAAAGTTTGAGATTGAGGGTGTGTCTGTGTAGACATTTCCTAAGCCCAGTGACACCTGTCAACTCCAGGAGCTGTATTCTCTTTCAACCAAATGTTCACAGAAGTTTCCTTATAAAGATTTTATTGAAAGGAATAGAAGGAAGAGTAATGAGAGAAAAATACATAGATGTCTTGGTTAAATTCCCACGTTCTGTTTCTCTGGTAAAGAGAAGAGTGTATGAGTTTGGGTGTGAATAAAAGAAAGGAATGCCAAAATGAGGAAGCCCACTTTTTCATACATATACCTCATGAGCACAGTGAGACATGAGCAGGGCAGCTAGCCTGACAATTTTCAGAGTAATAATTCTACCCACTGATTTTTAAGAAATTAAAAAATAACCTACACGGGGGTTTAATGCAGGCAGCCTTCTTCTTCAGGCATGAGCAGATTTCTGGGAAATGTAGTTTAGTGTAGGGCCTTTTGAATACTCTGCTACAGAGGTCCTAGCCTTTCCATACTACATTTCCCAGAATTCTGCTCATGCCAGAAGAATGGTGGTGCAGTTTGGGGTTGGATAATTTCAACAGAGGAAGATTATAGACTGGATATTAAGGGACAGAAACAAAGAATGATCAAAACCTACTATAAGTTTAAGCTTTAAGAAACACAAACAGAATGGATCTCCAGACACACATATTTATCTATCTTCTGCAAAGACCACAAAGACACGGAGACTCTGAGGGGAGGAGACCAGCTTTGCAGAAAGTCAAGTGATTGGCTTTCTTTTTCTGATTGGGTATCAAGGAAAAAAAATAGCATGCAGCAACTCTTGTCAATCACATCACATACCCCCCCCCCCTCCTCAGACAATTATGGACAGAGTGTATTTCATTGAAAAAAAAGCTCTGAAACAACAAATCTTTACTAATCTCTCCAAAAGTTTTGGCGGCTTCTGTTTCACTTCTTAATGCTTTAGAGGGGTCCCTTTCCAGTTAGTAGTTTGGAGATCATACAAATCTCTGAATTACAGAATGGAACTCTGAAGGTTTGCACACCCCTAATGGGAAGGTTTGTCTTCAGCTTGAAATTTTATTGTCTTGGATCATTTGCATGCTGGCTAAAGAGTTTATCATATGAGGAGGGCAAATTGCAATCACAGTAGGGCAACAGTGTTATTGCCTTGATCATAGAATATGAGGTTACTCCTTTTTTGTTGCTGTCTTAATAGGAAAAAAGCTTGAAAAGTATTTCTTTTACAAATACAATCTTTTCTGTGGTAGAGAGAAGTGTATGTGAATTCGGGTGTGAATAAATGAAAGGAGTGCCAAAACAATAAAGCAGCGGCCAGGGAGGTGGTTGTCTAAATAATCCCAAGGCCACCAGATTAGCTCCAGGATATGTAATCAATGTAAATCTACTTTAATACACAGAAAAGAATAAGTGACCACTCACACCATATGTTCTAAGATAGTCATATACCAGGACAATGAAATTAAAATTCTTAATTATTGTGTGAAGTGTCTCTTAAAGATACAGTATCTACTCACATTTTGTAATAGAAATTGTTTAGTGCCATTAATGCCACATCTATTATAGATGCAAAAGAATGGCAAGAACATTTTTAAAAGCCAGTGTATCTCCTTGAAACATTTGAAACAAACAAACCAAAATGCCTAAGAGTTAAGTAAATTGACAAAACTCTAGAAAGACCGCTCAGCAGTCTAGCTCTTATGTGGAGATCAACAAAGTGACATGTGGACTGACATAGCTTTCAGTCAGCCTCAGTGGACAAAGGTCCTGCTGAGGTAACAAACCTCTAGGGAAGTCTAAGCACCATAGAGGAAGACACTTACTTTCCCTTGAGAAAAAAACATCACATCACAGCTTCAAGCAACCGAGAAAAATGGGTGACAAGCTTGTGGGAAATGATAAGTAAGCTTTACACCAGAAAGAACCAAAAGGATACATTTTGAGGAAAAAATAGAATAAATGTTTTATTTATTGCCAGGAAAAATGAGGATGCTAGATTTCTGGTAAACATACAAGCACACATAGGAGTCTATTAAAGCAAACTAAAAACAGAAGCCTTATTCACAGAATCACTGTGCCAAACTTCCTCATACATATTGAGTATTTCATTTTTTTAAATAGTTTTTATTGTGCAAATTTTCCGTGTTACATAATAAAAAGAGAACAGAATGATCCCCTGCACCCTTCCCACCCTCTCCATTCCCCCTCCCCCCCCAATGTGTCAGACTTCCCAAAGTCTTCTTAACTGGAATCTGAAATATTTCAAAATGCAAAATTGTCCACATGAGTGGCTGAGATGATGACAGCTTTGCTTTTGAGGTTTCAGTGTACACAAGCATTGTTTCATGCAAAATATGGTTAAAAGTATTGTGTATAAAATTATCTTCAGGCTATGTGTTTATTGTGTATATGAATTATTTATTTGGAGCATTTATTAACCGCCATTCTCAGCCCACTCGGGCGACTCACGGCGGTGTACAGTACAAAAGGCAATTCACACAACGACAAAAAATAATGACGCGACAACAAATTCTTGGATTCAAATTGGGCAACTTTTATTTAACGTTACCTATTTAACTCTTAACTAACTCAAGGGTGTCAGAAACTGGTACAACCTAACCCAGGTAGTAACACTACCCGATAACAACAATTTCCGGGCGAAGCACCTGGGTTTCGGTAAACAAACCGTATTACCCACGAGGGAAAGGAATAAGGAGTCTCTTACCGAGCTCTTGTATCGAGACTCCTTCCATTAAAGGCCATTAACCTACCCCTCACCCAAAATGCATAGGTGAGTGTTTGACTTAACGGCCTTTCACCCCTTAAGGGGGTGCCCTAGGTGCACACCGACTAGAGGAATTTTCTATCTATTTATGCCTGGCCTATTTAACAACGCCCACTTTCTCTATCTAGCCCCTAAACAGTATAGGGTAGGCAAAAAACCTCCCTTAAAAAACAAGAAGAGGAAAAAATTCCTACCCGGTTCCCTAGGCAACCGTAGAATATACTGTTACTGGGCGGGAGTGGTGGGCCAGCGTCCAGACGCAGAATGCCTGGGAGGGGGCCTGGCCTGAACTCACAGGCCACGCCCCCGGATGTTCTGGAGGGTTCCAGCAGAACTCCTCCCTGCCTCGTGCGAGGCAGACAAATGTTTTTTCTCTCTCCCCATTTCATGGGGAGAGGAAAACTATTGTCTGCCAACCCACGAAGTAACACACAAGAAATAAAGACATAACACCAATGTTTGGATTCAAATTGGGCAACTTTTATTTAACGTTACCTATTTAAGTTCCTAACCTAACTCAAGGGTGCAAGGAACTGGTGCAACCTAACCCAGGTAGTATTCCTACCCGATAACCACAATATTCCGGGCGAAGCACCTGGGTTTCGGTAATCAAACCGTATCACCCCAAGGGAAAGGGATAAGGAGTCTCTTTCAGAGCTCTTGTATCGAGACTCCTTCCAATTAAAGGCCATTTAACTAACCTCACCTTTTAAACAGGGGGTGAGTGTTTGACTTAACGGCCTTTCACCCCTTAAGGGGGTGCCCTAGGTGCACACCGACTAGAGGAATTTTCTATCTATTTATGCCACGGATTAGGGGCAAATGTCCATTTCGCCCCTATCCCCCACCAATTCCTCTAACACCCTCCTAATACCTTCTTGCAAATTTAACAAGAATCTTTGGTTGCCCAATTCGGATAAGTGCACTCCATCCCCCCGATATAACCTTCCGTCATCTCGAGTGATATTTGGATGTGCAATGTAATGACCCCTCTGATGGATCATGAAGACCCGCATGGCCCGGTTCACTCGTTTCCTGGCTTTTTCGAGCCTTCCCACGTCGCCTCCTCCGAGCCACCTGCGACGAGGTATGATAGCGGACCACACGACGTGCACCCCGGGCCATGTCCACCAAATTTTTCGGATATCTGCCCGTGCTTGTAAAAAGAGGGCCTTGCCTGTTAACAGGCCTAAATCGTTACCACCGAGGTGGATAACCAACACATCAGGAGGCAGAACACTCCCGGCATTAAACAACAAGGGGCACAAACCGTCCCAACGCAGGCCTCTCCTTCCTCTCCATTCCACCGCTGCCGTGGAAGCGAGACCCAAATGCTGACCAAAGGCAGTCCTGTGGGCCTCTCTCCCTGCCCAAAAGACATAACTGTGTCCGCACACCAGGACCCGACTTCTATGCGCCAGCCTGGAGAGACCTGCAACGATAACAACATCTAGGATGGAACTGACCGTACGTAACCTCTGAAGGCGCCGGACCTCCATCTGCCTATGGCTTTTATCTCATCCTTGTCGTATCCCAATGCGGATGCTGCCGTGGCAGCACCAATCCTAAAGGAGTGGGTCCCAAATTTCAGGTGTCCCAACCCCAACAGGTCCAGCGCCTTAGCTGTGATGGTCCAAAATTGGTACTTGGTCAGCGGCTTTCCGTCCTGATGGGAAAAGAGGTAACCTTTCTCAGTGCCCCTGAGCGCCGCGAATTGAGTCATGGCCGCTACCGGGCAAAGGTCCTCTTCGCCGCACTTAAGCAGGCGGATCACCTGACCCTTAGCTTCCTGGTCAGTTTTGGAGGTCCTAACTCTGATTTCCATACTATCCTGGAAAACCTTAATGTCGGAAATCAACAGCGCACGGTGTGAGGTATCGCTCTTGGATAGTGCCACCAATTCACTCACCCGCAGTGCTCCAAAAAATGCAGTCAAACCTGCAGCATGATATAGGACCTGCTCGTAATATGAAGTACACAATCTGGGCCACAATTGTTTCAAACCCTTCAAAATTGCGGGTGTCATTGGCTGCCGGTCGTCCCTGGGATGCCCGCGCTGCCTGGACCATCCCGTTAAGAATTTATGTATCCTAAAGTCATCAGTGGGGTCACTAAGGCCTTGGGCCTTCAACCAATATGCCAGCGCTGACAACTTGGTCCGAATGGACTGTGGTGCTAAGCCTCTCCGCCTGTGGTATACGCAAAACTGAGCGAGTTGCTCATAGGGGACCGGCATAGTTCCGGGCAGGTTATAATGATGTCTAAAATCTAGAAATTCTTGGACCGCCCTAGTGTATGACTTCCTAGAGCTGGGTGCTAGAGCTAGGCTCATACCTAAGGCCGTCTCGTCACTCCAACCTTCCAGAGATGGTCCGGCATGCGCTCTGGAACTACGTCCGCGTCGGGAGCCAGCTGTCTGAATCGCTCCATCTGAAAACGAGACAAAGCGTCAGCCAGTCCGTTATCGAGACCCGCGACATGGAATGCTCTAAACAATATGTTAAATTTTAAACAGTGTAAGACAAATTGTCGGATGGCGCTCATGACCCTACGTGATTTAGACGTCAGAGCGTTAATGACCTGCACTGTGGCCATATTGTCGCACCAAAAATGAACCGTGGAGTTGGCAAATCTGTCAGCCCAAAGGTTGACTGCCACTAAGATAGGAAAAAATTCCAAAAAGGTTAAATCCACTGTCATTCCCAACGCATGCCAGTGGTCTGGCCACCTTTCTGCGCACCAGTGTCCTTCGAAGTATACTCCAAATCCAATTGACCCTGATGCGTCCGAAGCCACTTGAAGGGCGTTTTTTATCATCAATTCCTGACGCCAGAACGAGATTCCGTTAAACTGGCGCAGGAATTGAAGCCAAACGGACAAATCAGCCCTAATTTCTCTTGTTAGCCTGATGTGATGGTGGGGCAAGGCTACTCCAGTGACAGCTTCACACAACCTGCGCAGGAAAGCCCGTCCGGGCGCTATGACCTTACAGGCGAAATTTAGGTGACCAATAATTTGCTGGAACTCCCTTAAAGTCGCCTTACGCCGCTGTGAAAATTGACCTATCCTGTCAATCAAGGCCGCGACCTTTTCTTCCGGCAGCCTCGAGAATTCGTTGACTGTGTCAAGCTCTATCCCTAAGAATGTCAAAACAGAGAGGGGGCCCTCAGTTTTCTCGTCAGCTAAAGGTACCCCTAGGTCCCCGGCTAGCTGCTGAAAGGCGCGTAGCAGGGCACCACAGTCCCCCGATCCGCCTTTTCCCACGAAAAGAAAGTCGTCGAGATAATGTGCGACTCCTCCGAGGCCCGACTTATCCTTTATAGCCCATTCAAGGAACGTACTAAACGTCTCGAAAGCGGCACAAGAGACTGAACATCCCATGGGCAACGCTCGATCGCAATAAAAAAGGCCCTGGAACTGGAATCCCAACAGCTCAAAATCAGACGGATGTACTGGGAGCAGCCTGAAGGCGGATTTGATATCGCACTTCGCCAGCTCTGCTCCCGGACCATACCGCCGCACTAGCCGCACCGCTGCGTCAAATGATGTGTAGCTCACAGAGCATTGTTCGTCGGGAATGGCGTCATTCACCGATCCCCCCCTCGGATAGGAGAGATGATGAATGAGGCGATATTCACCGATAGCTTTTTTGGGTACTATTCCTAAAGGGGAGACCCTAAACTGAGGCGTGGGGGGTGCGACAAACGGACCCAAAACCCTGCCTTCCTTAACCTCTTTGTTTATTTTTTGTAGAACTATATTTTCCAGGCCTCTAATCGATTTCAGATTGGGTGCTAGACAGGGAGAACGTGGCCCGAGGGCCGGAATTCGAAAACCCTCTCTAAAGCCGCCAAGCAGATACTCTGCTGCCGCTCTGTCAGGGTATCTTTGTAGCCAACCACTAAGCGGACCCACCCTGATTGGGCTGGGACCCTTTTGAAACATTCCCCTGTCCTGGGTTCCCTCTGTTAAACTGCGCGGCCCTTGGCCCGCTCCTTGTTGATTTTGCCTTGTAACAACTCTTGGTTGAGTGGTCACCTTGGCATATTGCACAGGCGTGTCGGAACTTGCAGTCTTTGCGTGCACAAACTCCGTTGGCCGCATATCCCCAGCACATCCCTTTTTGTTTTTGCGGCTGCTGTGCTGGGTTTCCCTGCCGAAAGGGCTGACTCCCTTTGGCGTTCTGTATAGTGTGACCACTATCAGCTTTCTCACCAGGGACTGCCCTGGTTGTATTCATCACCTCCATCCACAGTTGACTGTCGATGAGGTCCCATCTCTTATCGGGCTTTGTGGCGGCTTCTGAACGAAAGCGGGTATCGTAAACCAACCATGCCTGGCCGGTATAGTTAACATAAGCCCCATAAATTATGTTTTGATATTTAAATAGGGCCTTGGCCCTATACGGGTGAGCCTCTACTAGGAGGGATGCGTATATGGTATAGCACGCTATCCAATTCTTCCAATTCTGCTCAACCCGCCTCTTCTTTAATTTTTCCTTGTGCTCTTCATCCATGTCATCTTTTTCCTTTTTATCTAATTCTCTGAAATATAAGGAAAACATGTCTATGTACTCATTCCTGAGTATCTTGTCAATGGTTTTTTGCGATAAATGGGCCCCCAAGGATGCTGAGGCTGCCGTAGTAACTACCGGCAGCACCCATTTATCAGTTCCCCAATATTGGTTGTCGTCTCCTGACCTAGCCATTTCCAATGTTATAGGGGCCACTGAAGGCGCTTGAGGACCAGCCTTAATGACTGAAGGTCCTGCTAGTGCCAGAGCCGCACTTTGAAGTGTAGGTGTAGTGATTTGCGCCTGGCTCAGGCCCCAAGGCCAGACCAGTGTATTGTTACCTGTGGATGTTGATGGCCCGTCAATGATGTCAGTTTGCATAGAAATTTGCCCCGTTGTCGCCTTCTCCAGCATCGATGGTGCCGCCACCGGAGRTGTTATGATCGGGTCAGCAGCCGATGATGCTGCCACCCTTGCGGGCTGCATTGATGTAGTAACTGGTTGTGCCCGAGCAATAGCTGGGGCAGCTTCGGCAGGGGTCGGTGCTGCTGCGTCACCAGATGACACCTGAGCCTGGACCACTTGAGGTTGATCCCCTGTCGGTAGTGRGGGATCTTGTTCCCTCTCTCTGGATTCCGGTTGGCCAGGCTCGTCCCCAACGCCTATCGCAGCTGCACGGCTGGCCTCTAAAGCAGACATGCGAGAAAGAAGGTGTTTAAATATCAGCTTTCTGCTTGCCCCCTGCGCCGGGCGCAACCCCGCATCCCTTGGAGCCAACCCTCTTTCCCTTTCGAATCTCTCCATCCTGGCCATCAGAGCATTTAGCTCCTCAGCTGAGACGTCCTCCTCCTCCGAAGCTGATTCGTTGGGAGGGAGGGGACGCTTAGCCGGAGTCTTCTTGGCAGGTCCCTTTCCTTTAGGGCCGCCCACATTCTTCTTTGGCGCCATCCTGAAAGAGAATTGATGACAAACCCGTTATCCGAGGAACCGAATATTTTAGTCCACCCTGTGATCCCCTAATATCGATTTAAAAGTCTGGTTTGCCAATATTGATCCAGTCACATTTGCATGTATCATCAATGATATATCAGAAGCTGGGACAGACCGCTGGGAGCTCACCCTAACTCACTGGAGTCCTAAATGCTTCTTTTTTTTTTTTTTTTTTTATTTTAGAATCTATCAGGAGCTGGGACAAACAACTGGGAGCTCGTCCTAAATCACTGGATCAAAAAAATTTTTTTTTTTTTTATTATTATTCTTATTAAGAAACCCTACTACCAACGGGTTATGGGAGTCAAATAAAATTTCTTATTTTCCATTTACTTATTAATATTATTTTATTCTACCTCTCTCTCCTCTCTCTCTCTCTCTCTCTCTCTCTCTATATATTTTATAGTTCCCCTAAGGACGAAATCAAGATGGCGCCGCTACTTTTAAACAAAATGGCCGCCCCTACCATGTGGCCGAAAACGAAACTAAAACAATGGAGGGGAGGCAACCCAGGGCCTGTACTAGCCTGCAGCGCCATCCTTGCAAAAAACGCTATCTATTGCTCTCCTCATCCCAACGCTAGGCTGGCAGCGAAAGCTCACGCGGCTCCCAAGCATCGAGCCTGCGCATTACACTCAACACGCTCAGCATCTCATTGTTCAAACCCCCCTTACCACCGGGGGCCCTTGTATGTATCAAAAGCCGGGTGTCCGACGCCGGGGAGAGCTTAAGCTGCTCCCTGGAGGCCCGCCGACCACGCGGGCCGGCAAAAACCAAAAACGTGCCCACCGCACGTGGCTGCCACGCGGCACGCTCCCGCGGGCGCTCCGAGCGAGCGCCGCACAGGCACACCGCGCACCGCACGGGCCTGCCGGGCCGCCGGCCCCGCCCGAAGCGGCACCGAACGAAGCAGGCGGCCCGTGCTCAAAATGCCGGAAAGCGGAGGGGAGGGGGGGGGGCAGAGAAGAGGCGAGACCCCTCTCCCAATCCCCGCACCCGCCGACCCCGGGACGGCCCAGAAAAGCAAACGGCAAGGGGAGGGAGGCGCGCGAATCGCGCGCGACCATCCCCCCCCCTAACACAAACGCCATATAAACCCCAAAGGGGGAGCGAGGCTGGGCACGGGGGAGGGGGGGGGGTAAAGGGGGCAGCACAAGCCGGAGCGCAACTCTCCAACCCCCCCTGCCTGGGCCCCAATCAAGAGCTAGCCTCCGGCCTCAGCCGAAGCGCCGAGGAGTCCACGAGAAGGAAAGGGGAGGGGGGGGGTGGTGGGCCAATGCTCCCCCAAACATGCCTTAAAGAGCACCCGTGGGTCGAAGCAAAAACCCACCCCCCCCGGAATCCCCGCTACCGACCTGAAGCGCCTCCTGGTTTTCACTATTCACACCGCCGGTCGTCTTCTCTATCTCCTCAGCCTTCCACTCCTCTTGACTCGAAGAAATCTTCTCTCTTCTTCGCCTGCCTTCTCTTCTTTCCAGGGCCCCTGGTCCTGGATCTTCTCTCTGCGTCCTTCTTCCCCAGCGTCCAGACGCAGAATGCCTGGGAGGGGGCCTGGCCTGAACTCACAGGCCACGCCCCCGGATGTTCTGGAGGGTTCCAGCAGAACTCCTCCCTGCCTCGTGCGAGGCAGACAAATGTTTTTTCTCTCTCCCCATTTCATGGGGAGAGGAAAACTATTCACACAAAGACAAGTACAACAGCATATTAACCATACAACAATACAACAGTTAAAATTACACTAACTAATCCGCTTCGTCTCGTAATAGAATCGTGACCAATCTCGTATTCCTTGTACCATTCCAGTCGTCTTTACCACATTACTATAGCACTTAATTAAATGCCCTCTCGAACAGCCACGTCTTGAGGCTTTTTCGGAAGGACAAAAGAGAGGGCGCCTGTCTGATGTCAGCAGGGAGGGTGTTCCACAGCCGGGGGGCCACCACCGAGAAGGCCCTTTCTCTCGTCCCCGCCAGGCGTGCCTGTGAGGCAGGCGGGATCGAGAGAAGGGCCTCCCAGACGATCTCAAGGTCCTCGTGGGCTCATAGGCCAAGATGCAGTCAGAAAGGTATTTTGGGCCGGAACCGTTTAGGGCTTTGTAGGCCAACACCAGCACCTTAAATTGGGACCGGTAGCAAATCGGCAGCCAGTGGAGCTGGAACAACAAGGGTGTTGTGTGCTCCCTGTATCCCGCTCCAGTTAGTAACATGGCTGCCGCACGCTGAACCAGCTGAAGCTTCCGGGCCGTTTTCAAGGGCAGCCCCACGTAGAGAGCGTTGCAGTAGTCAAGCCGGGATGTGACCAGAGCGTGTACCACCGTGGCCAAGTCAGACTTCCCGAGATACGGGCGCAGCTGGCGCACGAGCCGAAGCTGTGCAAATGCTCCCCTGGTCACCGCTGAAACCTGGGGATCCAGGCTCAGCGATGAATCCAGGGTCACACCCAAGCTGCGAACCTGTGTCTTCAGAGGGAGTGCGACCCCATCCAACACAGGCTGTAACCCTATACCCTGTTCGGCCTTGCGACTGACCAGGAGTACCTCTGTCTTGTCTGGATTCAACTTCAATTTGTTCGCCCTCATCCAGACCGTCACAGCGGCCAGGCACCGGTTCAGGACCTCGACAGCCTCCTTAGTAGCAGGTGGAAAGGAGTGACAGAGTTGGACATCATCTGCGTACAGATGACACCGCACCCCGAAACTCCGGATGATCTTATGAAACATAAATGAATTTGATGGTTAAATTTGGGTCCAATTTCCAAGCTATTTCATTATGTATATGTTTACACACAAGGCTGTTAATATTAGAAGCTGGACCCCTGCAGCAATATCTTGTTAGTCTCACTTACTGGAAACACCATCCTTCTGCACCCCACTTGCCATCTTGTGGCTGTTACCAACAGGCAGTCCCCAAGAATAGGTTCTGTAAGTTCATCTACATGAACTTCCAAGCACCTCCAGGAACTCCTGTATGATGTCATTCTCATGTATTTGGAAGCAGGAACACAGCTAAATGGTGCCTGCTCTTCCTTAGCTTCCACTGGTCATTAAATGATTATAGAGAGGGTTATAGATGGAAACATAAGATAAGAATACTTATACAAAGCATAGGAATAGTTTAGGGAGTGGAGATCAGTTGGACAGACCTTATATTACATTAGAGTGATGTGAGATTTCAGCTGTTGTGATTCAATCCTTTGTTCTTTCCATTTAAACAAAAAACAGAGTGGACTTTTAATAACTTGAGGGGGGTTTGTTAATTCATTGAATTTGTATCCTACTTTTCTCCCAGCACAGAACAAAAAGCAGCTTACAACAAATCAAAATTGTTTTACAATAAATGAAAAAAAAGTTGACACACTGTGTGATTCCCAGTGGGTTCAGGGGCAGAAAAATGGATCCCAACCCACTGAATTTTCCACCTTTGCTCTATGTCATTTATCGAAAACATGATATTGAGAATCATAACTAGGCAAGCACACATATATTTTCAAAATAGGTTAAATATGAAACTGAAATTTCTACCGACATGCTGCCAGTTATTGACTTGAAAATTGTAAGTGACAGTGACTTTCAAATGCTCTACCTAATGTACCAAGATGTCCAGGGCCACCTGTGACCTTTACTCATATCTTATTTAAAACCTCATACTTTAATGAACAGCTCAATAAGAAATCATAATGAATAACTCTACCAAATAAGTGCAGAGAGAAAAAAATGTTCACTGTTTTCCTGTTAAAATCTATGAAACTTAAGTACCTAGCCAAGCACTTAAATCATCTTTAATTCAAGTATCCATAATGATACTTATGTTTCTGTAGGTTAAGCAGGACTTACCCTGATGTGCTCATCTTTGCCAATATTTGCTGGAAGCTTATCCCTTTGTTAAGAAAACAGATCTGTGAGATAATCACATGGAGTACAGCTTTACTCACCTAAATAAAAAGACATTTCTCCCATCTGATGCCCATTTTTCTTTAGGGGGCATTATGTAGAAAGAGTGTTTGGCTGACAACCTTCAATGTTGACTTCCAGTTGGATTCAAATTCTAAATATTTTGCAGTGTGGTATTCAAGAAAGGATTTAAAAAGATTAAGATGAATTATATTCATAGCTTGTCCATTTTGAACTTTGTGAAAGGTTGTGTTATCATTTTCATTTCCAAATGCCACTCTTTTGGGGAATTCTTAAATACCCAGAATCAGATCTATGCACATACTGTAAGCAGCCTAGGGTGGCAAGCATAAAAAAAATTCTAATATATTCCAAGAAGATTTAGGCAGATGTATCTCTGGAGTTTTTCTGAGCCACAACAAACCTCTGAAACAAAAAAAAAAAGAATCACAATTATTCTAGAAGTGAACATGTTTTGGAAAGAAAAGAAAATCTAATCGCACAACTATTATTTTTCAAGAGATTATGTCTACTATTTCCATTAGACATGTTAACAACATCCTGTGTGATTTTGTAA